AAATTCAAAAAAAGGAGGACAGGCTTAGGAACCTACAGGACATCTTTAAACATTCCAATATCCGAATTATAGGGGTACCAGAAGGAGAAGAGGAAGAACAACAAGTGGAAAACTTATTTGAACAAATAATAAATGAGAAGTTCCCCAATCTGGCAAAGGAAATAAACTTCCAGAAAGTCCAGGAAGCTCAGAGTGTCCCAAAGAAGATGGACCCAAGAAGGACCACACCAAGGCACACCATAATTACATTAGCCAAGATTAAAATGAAGGAGAGAATCCTAGAAGCATCAAGATATAAAGGGACAGTCACCTACAAAGGAGTTCCCATAGACTGTCAGAGGATTTCTCAAAAGAGACCTTACTGGCAAGAAGGGGCTGGAAAGTATTCCAAGTCATGAAAGGGAAGAACCTACATCTAAGCTTGCTCTATCCAGCAAAGCTTTCATTTAGAATGGAAGGAAAGATAGATAAAGTGCTTCTCAGATAAGGTCAAGTTCAAGGAGTTCATCATTACCAAGCCCCTATTATATGAAATACTAATGGGACATATCTAAGAAAAAGAAGATCAATACTATGAACAGTAAAATGACAACAAACTCACAGTTATCAACAACCACACCTAAAACAAAAAAACAAAAAACAAAAACAAACTAAGCAAACAACTAGAACAGGAGTGGAGCCACAGAAATGGAGATCACATGGAGGGTTAGTTCGCAACAGGGGAGTGGGAGGAGGAGAGGTTGGGGAGAAGGTACAGAGAATAAGTAGCATAGACAGTGGGAAGAAAATAGACAGGGGGAAGGCAAGAATAGTGTGGGAAATGTAGAAGCTAAAGAACTTAGGACACATGGACATGAACTAAAGTGGGGGACTGTGGGGGGAGAGGATGTACAGGGTACAGGGGAATGAATGGGGGAAAATGGAACAACTGTAATGGCATAATGAATAAAATATGTTTGAAAAAATTTATGATTTCTCAAGGAAACCTAAATGATGATTTAACTTTATGAAGAGAGGAGGCTTAAGCATGAAGACAGAAACAAAACTTGCCCCAAAACTTCCAGCAGCTTATGAGAATCGAGTTTTGGAATTTCATTCTTATGGTATCAATCTTTGAAAGACTTACAATGAGTTGTCCCAAATCGCCAATATGGATGAGGTCCCACTCACATTTGTTGTGTCATTCAACAGAACTGTGGATGTCAAAGCAAAGACTGTGGCTGTTAAAACTAGTGGTCATGGGGAAACATATTTCACTGTTCTAGGCTGTTGCACACATGGAACAAAGCTATCACCCATGATCATGTTTAAAAGGAAAACGTTTCCAAAAGAAAGAATCCAAATGGAGTTATTGTTAATGTGCATGAAACAGGGTGGATGAATGAAGAAGGCATAAAAATCTGGTTCAAAAAGGTCTGGTCAGGAAGGCCTGGAGGATTACTGGTAATCAGAATTCCAGCTTTGCTTGTTTTTGATCACTCCAAAGGCAATGTTACACAAAGTGAAAAAGCAATCACAGCATTGATCGAAAACCCAACTTGCCTGGTGGGCTAACAGGCCAAATGCAACCTCTTGATGTGTCCGTCAACAAACCCTTTAAGGCCCTATTGAAGAAAAAGAATGGACATTGGGACTTCTGCCAAGATGGAGGCGTGGGTGGAAACAATGTACCTTCTCACACAACCAAGTTTAAAGACAACAAAGTTTTAGTAAAACAAATACGCAGCCATAACACAGAAAATTAAACTACCAAAGTCCAACAACAATGAACCCTCCAGCTAGACCGGTGAGAGGGGCAGAGCCAGCGGCTGGCAGAGCAGGGTTGCACAGGAAAACTCGGCCAGACCAGCACATGCACGCTGTTGGCAGATCCCAGGCAGATCCCAGGTGTGGGGCTGCGAAGGGCAGACCCAATGAGGGTGCAAGGTGGCAGGCTGACCAAGGTCACACATTCGAGTGCAGATAAAACAGCAAAGGAGCCCTGGCTAGTATAGCTCAGTGGATTGAGCACAGGCCTGTGAACCAGAGAATCGCAGTTCGATTCCCAGTCAGAGCACATGCTTGGGTTGCAGGCAGGTTCCCTGCAGGCCAGTTCCCTGCAGGGGATGCACTAGAGGCAACCATACATTGTTGTTTCTCTCCCTTTCTCCTTCCCCTCTAAAGATAAATAAATAAAATCTAAAAAAAACACAAAAAAACAGCGAAGGAGCAAGCAGTGAGACAGACTGCGCAGGCCCCAGTGGCGGGAAGGAGCAGAGGGGACAGCCATTGCCCTGCTCTGACCCCGACCCCACATACACCATCACAACCCACCGACCTGGGTAGCCCCACCCTGGTGAACACCTAAGGTGCCGCTCCTCATACCTAATGGACGCAAACAGACCAAACATGACTCAAGAAGAACTCAAAGTCTCAGACCCCATAACTCTAAGCGACAAAGAAATAGCGAAACTTTCAAATGCACACTTCAAAACACTGGTGATCAGGACGATCACAGAACTGGTTGATTATACCCACAAATTAGACAAATATATGAAGGCGAAACTAATTGAAATGAATGGAACTGAACAGGGCACCAATAGCAATGAAAAGGAAACTGGGACTCAAATCAATGGAGTGGACCAGAAGAAAGCAAATAATAGCCAAACAGAAAAGAGTCAAGAAGCAAGAATTCAAAGAAATGAGGAGAGTCTTAGGAACCTCCAGGACATCTCTGAATGCTCCAACATCCGAATTATAGGAGTACCAGAAGGGGGAAAGGCACAGCCACCAGTGGAAAACTTATTTGAACAAATAATAAAGGAGAATTTCCCCAATCTGGCAAAGGAAATAGACTTCCAGGAAATCCAGGAAGCTCAGAGAGTACCAAAGAAGTTGGACTCAAGAAGGAACACACCAAGGCATATCATCATTACATTAGCCAAGATTAAAATGAAGGAGAGAATCCTAGAAGCAGCAAGAGATAAGGAGATAGTCACCTAGAAAGGAGTTCCCATCAGACTGTGAGCTGATTTCTCAAAAGAGACCTTACAGGCAAGAAGGGGCTGGAAAGAAGTATTCCAAGTCATGAAATCCAAAGACCTACATCCAAGCTTGCTCTATCCAGCAAAGCTTTCATTTAGAATGGAAGGGCAGATAAAGTGCTTCTCAGATAAGATCAAATTCAAGGAGTTCATCATCACCAAGCCCTTATTATATGAAATGTTAAAGGGACTTACCTAAGAAAAAGAAGATAAAAAATATAGACAGTGAAAGGACAGCAAACTCAGTTATTAACAACCACACCTAAAACAAAATCAAACTAAGAGGACAGCTAGATCAGGAGCAGAACCATAGAAAGGGAGATCACATGGAGGGTTAGCAACAGGGAAGTGGGAGGAGGACAAGGGGGGAGAAAGTACAGAAAATAAGAAACATAGACAGTAGTTAGAAAATAGATAGGGGGGAGGGCAAGTATAGTATGGGAAATATAGAATCTACAGAACTTGAGACACGTGGTTATAAACTAAAGAGGGGGGAATGGTGGGAAAGGGGTGTGCAGGGTGGAGGGGAATGAAGGAGGGAAATAGAACAACTGTAATGGCATAATCAATAAAATTTAAAAAAAAAAAGAAAAGAAAAAGAATGTACATCATGGATGCAGTCAGCTGGTAAAGATTTAACGCCTACAGGTAGGATCAAGTAAACATGCCTCACCCAAGTTTGTGATTGGATCTTAAGATCGTGTAACAGTGTCAAGAAGGAAGTGGTTGTGAAATTATTTAAAAATACAACATCAGCAATGCTATGGATGGAGCTGAGGATGATGAAATTTAGCAGGATGATGAATATGACTCTTCAGAAGACACCAGTAATATAGAAATTGAAGGTGATACTTCTGATATTGACAGTGATGAAGAGTTCTTGGCCCTCTATGATAGGTAAGTATCATAAATTTGTTACCAGTACATAAAATCTTTTTATTATTATTTTTAAATTTTTGTTCAGTCACAGTTGTCCCATCTTTTTCCCCATTGCTCTCCCCTGCCCCGCCCCCCTAATATTTCTTGTACCATATGTTCAAAATTAAATGCTAAAATTTCTTTATAATATAAAAAATAGTATCTAAATATAAATACATAAATAATCGAAATGAAGGAATTTTTTCCTGAAGCGTGGGTGCATATTACACATGGCAAAATACTGTAATTAAGCAGTGGTATAAACTCTAAGGTAAGGAGGTTCAAGGCAATCCTTTTTGCATTTAAAAAACTGTAATTTTGAAGTAATTTCTTCACACCTACAGTAGAGATTCAGCCAGAACTTTATCTCTCAGGTACCATAGAGATGTAAAGGAAAAACAGGAGAAACACAAAAGCATAAAATATAAAAGAATAAACACTGAGGTTTAATAATTACCTAGGTTATTAAAAATTCTGACATGAGGTTGATAAAAAAATTTAATTATGTTGCTATGTATACGAACAAAAAATATTACTATATACAGTATATATTACATGCTAATTAATTTTATTAACTCAATTATCCATAATGTATAATCAAAATAAATAGAAGAAAATTTGAGATATAAATTCACATAACCTGTAACAGAATATATCTTCCCCTTATACCCTTCACTTTATAGTACAAAATATTTACCGACTAGTTTGTAAAGTCGTTAAACAGAATGCAATGTCTGATTATTTTTTAATTCCTATCTCTTTATAGTGATTTTCAGAAAAGGAACAAAGATACTGTCAATTGCCTAAACTTAGAAATCAGCAAAGACTTGACCAAAAAAGGGTAAGAAAATTTAAAACCATTTTTTTAGATTGCATTTAAAAATGGGTGAAAATATTAATTAAAAAAATGGAATTTACAATAGAAATATTAGGAATATAAAAGACAGCTTTACTCAATTCTAAAAATATTAACATGGTCACAACTAACACAGTGGAGAATAACATTAGGTAGATAACAGCAAAACCTCAGCATTTAGAGGCTTCTGTGTGCATACTTACTGTGTTGTACCAAGAGGGACACCACCCCAAGCCAAAAACTGCTTGCTGGATAAAATTGATGGAATATCTGAACAGCAAGATCCAGGTGCCAGAGGTTTATTCCTTGAAGGAACTATTTCACCTTTTAACGCTACTTCATACTGAGGTCCAAATGGATGCACGAATATTTTCAAGATTCTAACAAAGAAAATAATCTAAGTTGAATGTCCAGAATTCAGTCCTTCTGACAACTATTTCCTACATGTTTCCTTTGTTCAAGAGTCTGAACCAGGTGCTGCAGATACAATGCCCTTCCTACCATTAAAGCTTCTATTATAGAGGAGACTACAGATAAGGACAGAGACTGTGACAATGCCATCTACTGAGGTGAGAAAGAAGTTAATGGGGCTACAGGAACACTATTAACAAATATTTATGAAGAATACAGAAAGAGCTGAGGAATGCTTCCTTGATTAAAGAGTCAACACAGTGAAGTTGAGGCCAAGTGCTGCAGGCCACAGTAACAGACTGAAACCTCTAAGGCATTCTGTAACTTAAGCAGTGTGGGGAGGCTCTGCCCGCAGAGCTCCCCTAGCCTAGAACAAGACTAAGTCTACCAAGACATGATCTGCTTGGGGAGGAAAGGTGGCCAATCTCTCAGAGGAGAAGGGTGTTAAACCTCTTTTTTCAATGGGCTTTTATCTGATTTAGTTTGCATAGGAACACAGGGCTTATACATAAAGCTCATCAATCATTGTTCACCAGTAATGATCAAACAATAAATAACATTCAGAAAACTGTAAGGGCTTATTCTGAGTCAGGGTCAGATAGAGTGCCATCAAAGGGCCATAAAACATTGGAAAAAAAACTCCTTTTATGCTTGAACCCTTAACATTTAAATTGTGGACATTCTTAGCAAAGCAGGTTTCACAGGATTTTATGCATTCTCTCTTAAGCCTGACTGCCCCCCCTAAGCATCCATTCGAGCACAGGGCTGCACCCACCTCTGACACTGTTTTAGGCTTAAGTCAGGTGAGGGAAGTAAGGCAGCCAAGAGATGAGGAGACTTCTTACAGATAGAATGAGGACTCAAGCTATGGTAAAGCTGAGGAGTGAAGGTCTATCACCCCCTTTTATAGTCCCCTAAGTCCATCCCTGATGGCCCCTTTCCAACTGTGCCTGTCTTAGGTTGTTCCTTCCTTGAGGAATCTTCCCTGCCGTTGACTATCCAGCCATCCTCCAGGGACCAAGCAGGGTGAAGGAAAGGGGGCACAGGCTGTGCCCCTGCCAGGAGGATAAGTTTTGTCTCCTTAGTGGCTTATGGTCCCAAGGTTCCCTAGACATGGGGACTTTTCACCTGACAGCAGGGTTACAGCTTCTGAAATCAGGCAGGACGGTTGCCAATAGAGCAGTAGATAAGTCATGTATGTGTCTCAGGACACTAAATTTATCAAGCAAGTTCAAATACTAGAGACAGTGGTGCTCTGATCATTGTATGGTGATATTCACCCATTATGACTTGAGTGCCATAAAGTACGAGACCCAGAGAAGGAGTGGAAAAAAGTACTCTAAACTAACTACAGACAAGGTCAAACAATGGTTTCCTTCGAGAGAGAAAAATAGTTCACGATAAACATCAAGACTGACATTCTATTACTTACTTTTGTTGGAATATAATTGGAAATAGTGATTTTTTTAAAATCTCTAGTCAACTGGTTTAATAAAAGATTTTTAGTAAACAAAAGAAGAAACTCTGAGGCTAAATCAAAGAGGTACAACAGGACTATAATCTGTTAAGTGAGGTAAAACACATATTCTATCATTCAGGCTGCGGACTGAAGCATAGCTAATTGGCTGTTTTGAGAAGTGAGTAAAAACTTGTCATTATAAACAATTTTATATTACCTTTCTTCAGAGGCTTTGGGATCCTTTGGAGTAAATGAAACGATAACTTCACGTTCTTCTCCAGGTTTAAGGAACAGAGTCTCTGGAACCACTGAAAAGTGACTTCCTTGATCTGGGATCTAAATATTTATACAATTATAGCTAAATGACGACTTATGCAAATATGGCTTTTACTCAGTTACTCTTATGTGCCTTTGTCATTTACTATAACAGGTTATTTTCCCCTCCCCTTATCCACACCATCCTATCTTATCTTATTCTCTTGAAAATGCTATTTCCTTTTCCTTCCTCTTCCATAGCAAACTTTACCTTACATCCCATCCCCAACTTTCTTGTCACTACCCTCTTAACATGTCTCAGAAATAATGTCTATGTATCAATTACTCTCCTCCAAATTTACCTAGCAAAAGGAGAACACGAATTTTTAGGAAATTAATCAAAAACTTGGTTCTTATAAGAAACATTACATGTTAAAGTTCCTTGTCATGTATTTTATAGTAGGGTAATACCCAGTTTTTAAAGCACTTGCACAAATTCTTACATTTGCTCCACATGACACTCTGACAAGGGAGGTGGCAGAGTACCTTCAGAATGTGAGGAAATACTTATGGTTTCACAGTCTAAGAGAATACTATGTCATAGCACCAACACAAATTCTTACCTTAATATCTAAATAAACGTCAATATTCCCAGCATTTTTCAAAGGTAAGTGCTGCTTTGTTGAGGAAGTCACACTGGCAAACAAATGCATAGTCTAGAGGATGGGGTGAAACAGGCATTTTAAAAAATCATCACAATTAGTCAACCTGAACATCAAATAATGGCAAAAGAAGAGTTTAAAGTACCTGTAAGTCTTTTGGAGCATGTATCCTGGCTATTCCTGTTCTAGCTCGAAGACTAATACTTTTAATGACTGGTGTAGGGTTCGGGCTATCAACTTCTATATCGACTCTTGCCAAGAATTCTTCTGCTGAGTCTAGAATCTCTATAAAAAGTTCATTCCTTTAGTTTCAGACACCAGAGTTATTTAACTCTAAATGCCATGAGTGGCCAAACACTGCTCTCAGGGATCACAAGAAGTCTTAAGCAAGATGATTTTTTTAAACAAAGAGAAATAAAAATAAGTGCAGCAGAGAAAAGACAAAAAGGAAAACATTCAATTGGTAGATATGATAAAATCAATTAACAGAAAAGACTCCCACAAGTTTTCACTGGTACTTGAGTTACCCAAAATTACAAGGATTTGACCCAAAATAGCAATGTTCTCTGTCCCATTTTAAAAATAAAATATTTGACAAATTACTCAAAGTATATATTTTAATATTTAGTAACAAAGAAAATAAGCTTCAACTTTGTAATTTACTCAGATACAAAGAAATTCTGATAAAACATAAACATGATACCTGAAGAAGTGATCTGCTTCATTGGACTATGAAAAAGAACCCAAATAATCAAAAATTCTGGGTCCTGTAAAGAAACAAAAAATTAAATGAATACTGGCATTGATTAAAATCTTAATGAAAGAAAAGTAGTTTGGAAACTTCCTTTTTAATGCCAAACTGGTTCGTCAATCCACCCAGCTTACCTGTCCATCATAACTGGCAGGCATCATGTGATTGATCACAGAAGGAGCTGCCAGGTAAGCAATCATATCAGCATAAGGAAGAGCTTTCATAGGAACAGGGACGGGTTCCCTGGAAAATGTGAAGCAGCGCCAGGCTATGGCATTCTGTTCAAAAGTAGAAGAATAAGTTTTAGGAAAGCCAATAGTTGGTAAAACATTATGCTTATTCACAGAATCCTTAGGGAAAAAAAAAACCATTTACTTTCATAAGTATTAACCAAGAATGATATTAACAGTCCAAAATTCAAAATCAATATGCTCTGTAAAATGTTTCTTACTGTATTTTAGTACTTACAGCATTAATAGTAAGTCTGATTGGCACGATGGCATGTGTCTTATTTATCAATTTTAACGGGAGAGCTTTCCAGCCTCCATAAGTCAAGTCACCAAAATCAAGAACATCTTTCTTTTCTGTTTCTACCTAATTGTGAAAAAAAAATTTATAAAAAGCAATCTATTAATAAGTATCGTAGCTTATGTTCATATCACTGCCCTTTCAGCTATAAGAGTCAGGATTAAAGGTAAACTTACCTAAGTTTCCTCAAGGTATTTTACAACTGCTATTTCTAAAAAAATAAATGTTAAATTTTTTTTTGAGGTAGTTTGTGTACTCAAATATTCTACAGAACAAAGGAACATGTTAACTGCTTTGAAAGAACTAGTAGATTGTAAGACAAATGGCAATTTTTGAAATATATAGGCCTCCCTTTAAAGAATTCTATTACATTTCCATTTCTCTGACAGCTAGTGATATTGAGCATCTTTTTACGTGACTCTGGATCCTCTGTATGTCCTCCTTGGAGAACTGTCTGTTCAAGTCCTTTGCCCACTTTTTAATTGGGTTGCTTGTCTTCTTAGAGTGGAGTCATGTAAGTTCTTTGTATATTTTGGAGATTAAACCCTTGTCTGAGGTATCATTAGTAAATACGTTTCCCATACAGTTGGTTCTCTTTTTATTTTAATACTGTTTTCTTTAGCCATGCAGAAGCTTTTTATTTTGATGAGATCCCATTTGTTTATTCTTTCCTTATGTCCCTTGATAGGGGCATATTGATAGGGGACATATCAATAAAAATGTTGCTGCGTAAAATATCTGAGATTTTCCTGCCAATGTTCTCCTCTAGGATTTTAATGGTGTCACGGCTTATATTTAACTCTTTTATCCACCTTGAGTTTATTTTGGTGTATAGTATAAGTTGGTGCTCAAATTAAAACCACAATGAGATACCACTTTACACCGGTCAGAATGGCCATCATAAACAAAGCAACAGACAACAAGTGTTGGAGAGGTTGTGGGGAAAAGGGGACCCTATTTCACTGTTGGTGGGATTGCAGACTGGTACAACCACTATGGAAAACAGTATGGAATTTTCTCAGAAAACTAAAAATGAATCTGCCTTTTGACGTGGCAATTGCACTGCTAGGATTATATCCTAAGAACCCTGAAACACCAATCCACAAGAACCTATGCACCCCAATGTTCATAGCAGCACAATTTACAATAGCCAAGTGTTGGAAGCAACCTATGTGCTCAGCAGTAAATGAATGATGGATCAAAAAATTATGGTACATTTACACAATGGAATTCTATGCAGCAGAAAAAAAGAAGGAGCTCCTACCCTTCGCAAACAGCATGGATGGAACTGGGAAGCATTATGCTGAGTGACATAAGCCAGGCAGTGCAAGACAAATACCCATATGATCTCACCTTTAACAGGAACCTAAACAACAAAACAAACAAGCAAGCAAAATATAACCAAAGACACTGAAATAGAGAACAGGTTGACAGGGACCAGAGGGGAGAGGGAAGGAAATTTCAGGGGAAAAGGGAAAGGGTTTACAAGAACAAGTATAAAGAACACATGGACAAAAACTAAAGGGTGTGGAAATGAGAGGGAAGTGGGGAGCACTGGGTGGCTGGGCTGGCATGGGAGTAAAAGGCAGAAAACTGTACTTGAACTATAATTAAATTTAAAAAAAGAATTATATTACAATACTGACTTCTGAAACTTCTGACAATACTAAAAATGTTTAAAGTGATATCAAGATAGACATATCAAAGTTTAAAAGGAGTGTCTATAATCATAACACATTGATTTCTTTAAATAAGGAGAGCAATCTAACACAGACCACTCATACACATGCAGAAGTGCTGAATAATATTTTATAGACTCATAAAACTTTTTGGCCTAGCCAAACCTAAAATAAAGCAAAATCAAAAGAAGACTGGTATTTGTCTTCCTCTGACTTACTTCTTTTAGCATAAAACCCTCTAGGTTCATCCATGCTGTTGCAAAGGCAAGATTTCATTCTTTTTTATGTCTGAGTAGTATATTGCATTGTGTATATGTAGCACAGCTTTTCTTTTTATCCACTCATCCACTGTTGGGTTCATGGGTTGCTTCCATATCTTGGCTATTGTAAATAATGCTTTAGTGAACACAGGAGTTCATATAGCCTTTCAAATTAGAACAAAATAAACAAACAACATAGAAACAGACCCACAGATAGTGAAAACAGACTGACAGATGTCAGATAGAAGTGATTTGGGGGACTAGATGAGAAGAGTAAAGGGAGTAAGAAGTACAAATTTGTAGTTACAGAACACTTACAGAGATGTAAATTATAGCGTAGGGAACACAGCCAATAATATAGTTATTAACTAGTTATGGTGTCAGGTTGGTACTTGAAACATTAGGAGAATCATTCTATAAAGTACATGATTTTCTAACCACTATGCTGCACCTGTACATCTGAAATTAATACAGAACAATATTGAATGTAAGCTGTAATTCAAAAACAAAACCATACATACATACACACACACAAACACATATGTATATGTATTAAATATATATCTTAAATATATTATATTATAGTCCTGGCTGGTGTAGCTCAGTGGATTGAGCACGGGCCTGTGAAGCAAAGGGTTGCTGGTTCAATTTCCAGTCAGGGTACATGCTTGGGTTGCAGGCCAGGTTCCCATTAAGGGACACATGAGAGGCAACCACACATTGATGTTGCTCTCCCACTTTCTCCTTCCCATGCCCTCTCTCTAAAAATAAATAGAATATTTAAATCTAGATAGATAGATAGATAGATAGATAGATAGATAGATATGACCCTAGTCAAATCCTGCTGGTCTTGAGGGCACAATTATTCCTCTAAGTTCTAACACTGAACCATCCCTATGTTGGCTTCGAAGCCCAATCACACCAGTGAAATAATAATCTCTGGGGGATAGGCAGACACAGATATCAGTAGATTTTGAAGGTCATCAGAAGATTCCAATGAACAGTTTTAGGAGTCACTGCCTTTTCACTACTAAACACTGCTCATATAAGCCACTTAAAATATGACAACTTCAAATATGCCTTAGATGTGATTTTTCATGTCTGCTACAAAACAGTAAGTTATTTCAGAAGTCTAGTATAGTAGAATATATTGAAATGCAGAAAATTCATGAGATACGTTCTCAAGTGGGGGTAATCTGGTAATATCTGGAGGCATTTTTACTTGTTAAAACTGAGGAAAAGGAGGCACAACTGACATCTAACAAGTAGGCACCAGAGATGCTGCTAAAAATTCTATAATGCATAAGATAGTCCCCATACCCAACAAAAAATTACCCAGCCCAAAAGGTCAACAGTGCCAAGGCTGAAAAACCCAGCCCCAGATAACAGCAAGCATTACAGAGCTGATTTGAAAAGTATGGAAAATGACACTTATGAAAAAATAAAAAGACTGTAAAAGTTTATAATATGAGAACTACTTCTAAAACTGTACCTCCTCCTCTAAGCCCAAGGAGATAAAATTCTGAAGCTAAGTTTCTAAGCATTCCTCCTGGAAAAGGCATATGCACTGTGAAAAAAACTTTGAATGACTTTCATCAGTTTCCTTGGGAACTACCCTGCCCCTAATTCCCCCATATTCTACTTCTAAACAGAATCACAATTATAGCTTATGAAACAAGTGAACTTTAGTAGGAGCTCAGTAACACCTGTAAAGTATGGTTAAACAAACAGGTTCAGTTCACATATTAGGAATCAACTAATTTTTTATTATCATTAACAATTCTACTTTTCCTTTGTTTTGTACCCTCCCCATCTCTCCTTCCCACATTCCTTAATCTTGTTCAATATATTTTGATTTCATTCACAATCAATTAAGAACAAGACACTTTTTGTACAGCTGTCTGTGAACTAAGGCATCTGGAGAGACCTAAAAATTACTGATAGTTAGCCATGCCTCCATCCCCCAGTTCTGATTTAGTTGGTTTCAGTAGGACTCAGGCATTGGATGCATTTAAAATCCCAAAGGTATCCCAATGTGTAGCTAAGACTGAGAGCCACTGTCCTAAAGAGGCATGTAACCCAGTAGCTACTTTATTATCTTAACTGGGCTAGACCTTATTTCTTTTTTATTTTTTACTTATTTTTATTTTTAAAAATAATTTTATTTAGTTATTTTTCAAGTACAGTTTTTTGTAGACCTTATTTCTTTCAAGTCTAGAAAATAGATGACTATAGAAAATAAACTTTTTCAGCTAGCAAATAATCTTCAGGTACAGAAAAGGAAGAGGAATATGAACAAGGCACTTTGCTAAGTGAGTATCAAATTATAAAATGAAAATCACTTGGAAAATAAGGTTTAATGCTATACTCTGCTTTACAAACATCTGACTAAGTATATCTATGTTTCTGTAAAAACAACAAATAATTTTAATTTTGGAATAAGAACATATTAAGAACCAATGGTCTGCAGGAAATTAATTTTGTGGCATACTTACACACAAATTCATTTTTCCTCCAAATATTACTTCTCCAGGTAAATGGCCTTCATTAAAATGCCAGGTATGACAAAGACCCAGTTACAAATAGTTACCTCAATCACAGGGGTCTCGGCAATAGCAGTGAGAATGACCCTGCTTGCCAAGGCTTCTGCTTGCACTGCTGTCTCAGCATCTACTGTAAATGGCCAAGAAGCAACACTGAAAATACATCTGAAAATCCCAGGATCAGACGGTATGAAAAGTACTTTGATCTCTTCTGTGGCATGAGGTCTTATGATGACTTTATTCTTGAAAACTAAACAAGGGTATGCTAAAAGATCCACCTTAAAGAACAAAAAAGAACCACATGACTTGTTAAAAAAAAGGGCTATACATTGCAAATCAAGAAGTAGAATCAACTACTTTAAGATCCCTTTTCTCAGTCATTCGGACTACCAAATCTACACATTTATTACCTCTTTAAAAATCCAAGTCTTATAACTCGTCAAACTTTATGAAGACTTACGAAGATAGGTTCAATTTATGGCTCCTAGTCTATTTTAAAGCAAACACACTTATTGATACTCACATTTTACTTGAAAAGGACACTGAAAATGGCAGTACTTCACAGCCCTATACATGGCCCCAGGGCCTAGGTTTTGGTATAATGCAGATGGTTAGACCAATCTGTAATATTCATTGTCAGGCCTTTAAGTCTATGATTGTGATTCACTCCAAACCCTCCCTTCTCACTGTAAATGGGGATCTTCTTTTCTACTCCCACTTCCAGAGACAACACTACTTCCTGAGAAATCTCACCTTCTACCCTCAACCCTTTTCTTCAACCACCAGCTTTTTATCTAACCTCAGGATCTGAAAGCAGAGGGGGAAAGTTAGGGGAAAAAGGAGAGGTTGGGTAGAGATGGTCTTATTTTATCAGGTAAATAAAGGCTATTACTAGGATGTAAAAGGAGAAAGTAGGTCCATCCACCAATGTTAGTTTGCAAGTAGCAGTTTCAAAACCAGGATGCTCCAGAACAGGAGCTGCTGTCTATATTTCCTACCCTCCCTACTAACTAACAGTCAAATGGTCATTGCAATCATAATAGGAGATTTAGATTCTGGAACTGTAGCAGCCGTTATTGGTCATATGAGACCCTCACTATAAGAGTTAATGTTAAAACTGTATTTCCAGGTATTTCAAAAGGTCATGTAAAAACATAATCAGGTAAATTAGTCAAAAAGAGTGCTTACTAAATGAAGGTATAGGCCCTAAGAGTAACTGGCTTCTTTGGTTTTTTGATAAATGATAACTTATATTCAATCACATTTAGCAAAACCAGAAACTCAAGAGCTTTCAGTGATATAAATAGCACTAAAAGGACATTTACATAATTTTATAAATAAATAACAATGAAGTATAATGACTAAATAATAACAAGAGGTAGAAAATAAAAAACATATTCAGATTTCACTTCTAGTACTAGAAATACTATGACGAAGGGGGACCAAGAAAGATACCACTGCAATGATTCTGTGCAAAGTATAAGGGAAGAAACATATTCCCAAAATAAAAGGAAGTACTAGACAAAGGAGAAATCTGGCATTACTCATAATGCAATTACTAAGTCAAACAGAAAGTTAATAAAACACCTACCTTTTCACCATTAACACTGACACTGAGAACCCCAATGCTGACCTGCAACCAGTGGGCAGTTGGGTTGAGCACACTGAGGTGGGTTTGTGAAGCAATGCCAACACAGCAAGCGTGAGGAAACTTCAACTCCTCAGGTACCCTTACATGCCCTGGGTAAAGATAAAGCACAGTCAAAATGCAAGAAATCGGGTATTAGAGATAATACCCGATTAAATGCATAACTAATTACGTGAAAATTTTCATAGAAGACTACTTATTTATAGCCAGGGCTACGGTATAAAGTGCCCCATATCTTTAAGCATCCTTCATATTACATAAGCCTCAGCATAGGCTGGTCGACAATTTTTTCCTGCTGAATCCAGCTAAGAAATAAGAACAATTAAAGCTAGTGAACTCTCAGATGTTATTACCTATTACTAATCTCTTCCTTTTTTCTCCCATAAATATAAACCATTGCCTAACCTAATAAAAAAACGACAGAGGCTCTAACTTGGATTTTTAATACAACCAGTCTTTTTACCATCCTTACAAAGTTTCTCTGGAATTTCCTTGAAGACAGTACACCAGTGGCTGAGGGTCAGAAAAAGCACAGCATCCAGCTCTGCATAGCAGAGTATCCATCAACAAGAGAATCAGGGGGCCGTTCAGCTACTACAGACAAGAGTGGAAGGGTGCTGTCTAACACTACCACAACAGTAACCTGCTAAGACTTAAAAGCTAGGAGACTCACTCCCCCTCCTCAGGGAAGTGACTCTAAACTGCATGTTTCCTAGCTGAAAGAATAATAGAACGAACACAAGTGCAGAACATAAAAGAGGTAGAAAGACAAAGGTATTAGGAGTTTCATCTGAGTAAGTTTTCATTATTTTTTAAGGCCACTTCAGGAACCCTTGCCCAGAAATATGTATAGTCTGTGTTCCAAATTCAGGACAAAGGAAGAAAACCTATAAGAAATTCGGGCCCTCAGTATCTTCTTGAAACAAAACTAGTTTTATGGTCTCATTTGAGAAAATTCCATTTTAAGTAGCAAGCAACAACAGGCAATAACAGAAAAAGCATCTCACCTAATCCTGACATCATTCCTGAATCCCATGGTTCAATTCCACAATTTGTACCAAAAGACTGCACTGGAAAAGATTTTGCTGTATTAAGAAGATTCTGATGTACGGTATTAGAAGGTGGGTTACAAAGAGAAGAGGTACCTATCAATCCAGAGCCAGTATTTTGTCCTAGACAAATGTCTATGGCCACAGAGTTCTGAACATGCTCTCCAGTGACAGCAGGGTAAGAACAGTTTCCTGAGAACCCACAGATTGTGGTGCTGTCGGCATAGCACTGAGGCAAAGCAACATTTCCAGCTGCAGGTAGTGTTCCCAAATACTGCCAGGGAAAGGGAGCTGTGGTAAAAGAATGTCGAGTCAAGAGTGTAGGAAATGAAGTGGGCATATTCTGCATCTCAGGAGCAGAGCCATAAACCACAGAGCTGGGAATAGGGGCACACTGGTTTCCAGAGGTCATCTGATGAGGCACCACCTGGCCACTCAATGCACTGTTGGTAGTTGATGTATCGTCGGAAGTTACTCTCTCAATTTCATTCACAGATGCCTGGAGTGGCACAGGAAAGCATGGCATTGCTGACACAACTGGGTGGCTGAGACCTGACTTGGTCAGATGACCCAGGCCAATCTGGTCCAATTCACTGGAGTTCATAGTCAAACTTCTTGTAGTGGTTTCCAACAGATGTCCACTTTTAGAGGAAAGATCTTTATTAAATCTAAAGTCAGGTTTTATGTCTTCAGGTCTGCTACTCAGAGAAGTAGTTTCAGTCACTTTTTCTGTACCTGAATTTTTCTGAATAACATAGGATAATGCTCCTTTTCCTTTACTTTGAAATGGATCTTTTTCTCTCAATTTTTCCACAGCCTGTTCCTCTGATGGAATTGGACTGGCTCGAATAATTGTGGTGCTCAACTCACTGGTGATATCACTCTGAATGTGACAAAAAATGTTTATAGAAATAATTTATAGATTATTACCAATTCAAACCATGCTGATACACTCTCAAATAATATAATACAGAGATCTAAACAACATTAACTCTGGAAAAAAGTTCACTTACACATGAAACAGTTTTGCAGCTGTGAAATGCAGGATTAGAAGTTAGAAAAAAATTGCACTCATTGTTTTATGGAAATAATTAAGGAGAGTAAAGAGGAAGTATACACCAATCATATTTCTGAAAAAATTTACAAGGACAAGAGACAACTAACTTTGTACAAACTTAGGGATTTTTCCCTCTACACTACAGTAAAAATCTAAGTAAATTAATAACAAATGAATGGGGGTGGAGGTGAGTAAGCTTTCAAATGACATCAACACTGAGTTTAGGAATCAACACAAATCCAAATTAAAGACTCTCCCATCCCTATTACTGTATTTTTCAGACTATAAAATGTACCCCCAAATTTTGGAGGAAAGGGGGTGCATCTTCTAGTCCAAAGGTAGCTTGCCTGGCTCATGGGGGGGTAGTGGTGGAGTGGGGTGACAAGAGGCAGGAGCAGGGTTGCCGCTGCATTCCACCCCCAAACTGGGGGGGTGGAGGAGGGGTGCATCTTACAGTCTGAAAAATATGGTATTTGTCTAAATTGCTATTGTGTTTGAAAATGCTAATTTTTATGAGTACCAAAATCTTTTCTAACATCTAAACTTATATGGTTCTCTTTTCTTAAGTATGAAGTAACAGCCCTAGTCAATGATTATATACTTATTTCTTTATAATGTTTCAACTTAGCGGTGACATCTTCAACCATTACACAGAGGTTAAGATGTACTTAACTCTCACTGATTATTTTTGGTATCTGGTTTGAAAATTTCTTCTGGACCAAAGCTTTAGAAACAAAGACACTGAGAAACAACTTATTTGCCAGTCATGCATCCATGCATCAATCAGTAAAAATAAATAACAAGCACTGGTTGAGTAGCTCAGTTGGTTACAGCATGGTCCTACTATACCTAGGTCAGAGGTTTCATCCTCCATCAGGGTACATACAAGAATCAACCAATTAATGCAATAAATCAGTGGATCAACAAATTGGTATTTCTCTCTCTTTCATTCTCTCCCATTCTCTCAAATAAAAATATAAAAATTAAAATAAATAAATAAATAACAAGAGCCAGTATGTATCAAGTGGGTAAATTCTTGCTGCCAAGTCCTGTCCTCACATCACTGTCCCTCCTTACAGATGAAGAAACAGATTTAGGAAGACTGTATTAGTCTGAAAGTAGCAAAATAGAGGCCATCTGACTCCACATTTCAGCTCTTAACCACTATGCTAAAAACATAGAGACCCAACATCTAAAAGCACCATCTAAAAGACAGCTTTCAATGAAATGGGTATAACTGGTTTGTCCAGCACGATGTGATGTTTAGTTGATATATTTATTAACAGCTTTATGGAAGAGGCCTGTTACTACCTACTAACAACAGTGATATTCACCTTATTTATAATATTGTCACATTCACAACGCACACACACAGATAATATTCTGCCACATAAATCTCTTAGACCTGCTTTTCTTCCACACTCACTGCCACTACCTTTGTCCAAGCCTGTACTGACTCTCACCTGGCTGACCACAGCAGCCTTATGTCAGTCTTCCTGGTTCTCACCTTGTCCCTCTCAATGCCTCCTCCACACTGCTACTGCAATGAACTTTGAAAACATCAACACAGATCATGTCAGTGTTGTGCTTAAGAACCTTCAAATTCACAAATTTTACATCTAAGACCCTTCTTAGTTGGTCTCTCATCTTTTCTCCTAAGTATATGCTTCACTGCAGCCATTCCAAACTTCTTGGGAGTCCCTCAAATGCAGTCTCTATTCACAATTCCATTCCTTCCCACATTTGTTTCCTTCTTCCCTAATTCCAAGTAGTCTGAAAAATATGGCCTCAGTACATTTACTATCCCTCCCATCAACACCCTAGTCATATTTTTAGTTACCTCCTGAGTACCCACAGCATAGGTCTATCACTGTGCATTTCATTACAAAGTATGTCTTGCGTATGTCCTCCACCAAACTGAGCTCTTTCTGAGGGCAGATACTAAAATATTTGTACCTCTTGTGCCTATATAACATGAGTAGCTGTTTGATTCTCCTTTCTCTCTCCCTCCTTCCCTCTCTCCCTTTCTCCGCCCAATTCCATTTTAAAGATAAAATAGCAAAAGATACTATACAGACCAGTCTGAGCACTATATCAGTAACACTTTATAATCAGAAGCCTTACTAAAGAAATAATAAAAGGGTTGCCCACCTTGCAGTCCTCAAGGACATGATCTGAAGCTGTGGTGGGGCAGGTGCTCTCTTGTTCAGACATGTAAGTCAGCCTGCTCACACTAGCCTGTGGACCCATCAACTGAGACAACTCATTCTTGCAGGGGGACTCCTGATAATGAGCTGCTGAACCAAAAAATTCTAAAGCACACCTGAAAGAGAGAACACTTTGTGACTGGAGCTGTCCATTCTGTTATTTAACAACATCTATACTAGCAAAAGCCAATCCTACTTTGCCTACAATCTTGTTAATTTACAGACTTTGCTCCAGCAGTAATATACTATAACAACTCAATCACAGATTCATTTCTTTTAACCTTAATTATCTAAAATTGTAAATTATATTTCTATTAAATGAAGCACCTGATAAGCTACTGTAAAATAAAAATGTTCTCCCCCTCTCTTTCTCCTTCCCTTACCCTCTCTCTAAAAATAAAGAACATCTTTGTGGAAAAAATGTGGCATTTTCATTAATAAATTTCATATACAGTCACATAACAATGTTAGCCATTCATTCAAGAAAAACTTGATTGAATACCTAACATAGAGCAATGAGCAGAACGTTAAAAAACTTCTGCCCTCAAAGAGTAAAGATTTTTTAAAAACCATGTAGATAATGTGCTGCTGATGGGAATATAAAGTGGTACAACTTTTGGCTGAGCAATACTATACATATCAGAGTCCCCTTGACTTAAATAACTCTATACCAGGGGTACAGAATACCATGGGTATTCTCACTCATTGGGTGAACCAAACTCATTTTCTTGGTGGGGGGGGGGGGCACATCAGCCTCCCAGCTGCCTTCAAAGGGTAAATATAATTTTAGGACTGTATAAATGTAACTACTCAACAGTTAAGCAAGAACCCCATGCTACCACCAGATAGAAACAAGGTGCTGGGCGACATAAAACAAGGTGGAGGGCTAGATATGGTCCACAAGCCTTGTCTCTGCCACCTGTGTTCTATACCTACAAATTTATCCTAAGAAAAACTTAATACTACCCTGGCTGGTGTGGCTCAATGGACTGAGCACCAACCTGCAAACTGAAGGGTCGCAAGTTCAATTACCAGTCAGGGTACACGCCTGGGTTGCAGACGAGGTCCCCAGTGGGGGCCACGTGAGAGGCAACTACGCATTAATGCTTCTCTCCCTCTCTTTCTCTTTTCCTTCCCCTCTCTAAAAATAAATAAAATCTTTTAAAAAATTACAAACAATACACAGTAAGATCCTACCTCTGTTTAATACACACACCATATGTCATTACTTAATACCCATTCCAAGGCCAACCCAGTCTGATTCAAAGAGAGGGGAAACAGGTTCCACCTCTTGAGGAGATGAGGCAAAGTCACACTCAATAAGAAATATTGTCCCAGCAGCCATCTTTGGAAACAGTTGCTGCACCCACTGAATACTCAGCCACGTACCAGCAGTTTCAATTTAGCCCTTTATTTGACTGAAACTCACCCCATCATTTTCTTGCATAAAGTTCAAACTACTCAGCTGGGAAGTGGACACAGAGAGAAAATCCTACTTTGAATTTCAGATTTATAAAAACCCCAAATAAGACAGCATTGACAAAATACTAGCTAGTGAATTTCTAACAAATGGAGAGAAAATATTAACCAAACTCTGAGGCCTATTTTAGACACGGCATGACATATGGGTTTTTTGTGTGTTTGTTTTCAAAGTTTTGATTTTATTGTCTCTACTTCCCCTTACATACCTTATATACAAGTATGAATGGGGTTCTTACATGCACATGCACATACACATGCATACATATTCACAGAGAACCATGTTATGGCATGAAAGAGCTTCTGGGTTACTGGTGATGGAGATTATTAGTTTGGCTCCTTTGGTTGAAAGGAATAAATGCATTTAGAAATTATCTCAAATAATAAAAAGTGAACTGTAAGAACACATGAAAATAAAAGAGAAATTTAAGTTGAGTCAGACTTTAAAGGAATCTGAAAAGAGTCAAGGTACCAGCCACACAGAGACTCAAAAAATAGTCTGGAATTAGAAGCTCTGCATCAGCTCTATGAACCTATTAGAAACTAGCTAGATTCTAGAAGACCAGCTAGCAAGAATACTAATGAGCAATACAACTTACCAAATAAAGTATACTCACTAAAAAAATGTTGCCAGTGAATGGATGAAAATTCTGACCAAACTTTCACCATGAATATAAAAAAAAGTTAAAGGACCCTGAGCTGGTAGAAACCAGAAAAAAAGTAGAATAAAAACATCAAATCCATTTTACCACAAAAAGTACAAGGCTTTCAATAAAATAAATGAATACAAAACGAAGGTCTACATTGGCAGCAATGAAAGCAGTTGATGCTGCAGAAAATTAATGATACAGAAGATAAACACCTGAACAGCTGTCCCATGATACAGAGTGAATATATCAAGAAATTAGGGAAAAGAAAATAGCCATGGATGACCAGAGAAGGGAGTTATCAAGTAACAGGCAACCAGTGTACCCTAAAGAAGGGAATAAGTGGAAAGAAAATAAAGCTTTCCCCAGTTGAAGAAAGAGCTGTGTATACAGAGGTAATAATAATCCAGGAAAATCAACTAAAAGATACGAACACATTTAATTAAAGTTGATGAGGGAAGAAGGTAGGGGGAGGCATTAAAAGGAACATAAAAATGAAGCTGGTAAAAATACATACATACTGTGTACTGGGAAAATGAATAAACAGAATGTGACATACTCATGTAATGAAGTGTTACACAGCAATAAACATGATGAGCTACTGTTACATGCAACAATAGGAAATCTAACAAGCATAAAGTAGAAGAAGCTAAACACACAATAAAGGTACTAGTTAGACACTGCATAACAATATTTCAATCCACCACAGACTGCATCTACGAGAGCAGTGCTTCCATGATGATACTGGCACTGAAAAATTCCTATCACCTAGTGATATCAACACACTATTCATGTGTTTGTGGTGATGCTGGATAAACAAACCTACTGTGCTGCCAATAATATTAAGTATAGTGCATGCAATTATGTATAGTACCTAACATTTGATACTAATTATGTTATTGGTTTATATATTTTTAATTATTACTTTACAGTGTATTCTTTTCTACTTATGTTTGCTATATAATATAGTATGACACACTATAGAAGGAGCAGTCTCATACATCTTATGTTTACCACATCTCTTAATTGCATCATTTTCTCTTGTGCTTCATTTAATCTCTTACTTTATACAGTAACATGATGAACAGGCTTGTAGCCAAGGGGCTATAGGCTATAAAAGCAGTCTAGGTATATAACAGGCTATACCATCTAAGTTTGTGTAAGTGCTCTCTATCCTGTATGTCCAACAACAAAATCATCTAGTAGTGCATTTCTCAAAACGTATGAGGTCTGTCCAGAAGGTATCCAGCCATGAAATATAAAAAATAGATACATTTATTGAAGAAGGAACAACACACAAGAAACACTGTACATAAGACAATGATGACACAGTCCCTTCAGTGTAGCAAAGTACACACCTTGGGACCTCACACATTTCTCCCAATCGCCATCAGCTACCCCATCATATTTTCCTGAATCTCTTCCACAGTTTGAAATCTCTTCCCTTTCATAGGTGATTTTAGCTTTGGGAAAGCCAGAAGTTTTAGGGCACCACATTTGGGCTGTGTGTTTGTGTGTTAGGGGGGTGGTGTACAGTGAGTCACCTGGGTGGTTTGATATTTCACGAAAAAAACTGCACAAGATGTGATACATGAGTGGGCACATTGTTGATGAAGCTGCCAATCACCAGTTAGCCATAGCTGTGGCCTTCTGAATCATGCAAATAGTTTCCATGGCATGTTCAAGCTTCACGCAAAATTGGATGCAGATTCATTGTTCTACTCAGTCATTTTTTTTTAAAGATTTTATTTATTTATCTTTAGAGGAGAAGGGAAGGAGAGAGGGAGAGAAACATCAATGTATGGTTGCCTTTCATGTGTCCCCTGCTGGGAACTGGCCTGCAGGGAACTGATCTGCAACCCCGGTATGTGCCCTGACTGGGAATCGAACCGCAATTGTGTGGTTCGCAGGCCCACACTCAATCCACTGAGCTACACAAGCCAGGGTTATCACTCAGTCATTTTGAATGGGACAACCACACAGTTAGTACACAAACTCACTCAACAGTGTCTACTACCCCCACTGACTAGTAAAGTTCTCATTGTTCACATATACGCATTCCAGTCCACTCTCCTTGGCTGCCAGGTAAATTGATGTGATGCAAACCTCTCTCTCATTGTTATATTAATAATGGCTAGACTTTTCTGGACAGACCTCATATTTCCACTGTTTAGCAGCACGTGTGGACTGTATATGATTCCATTCATATACAATCCAAGAACAGACAAAACTAAACTATGGTGATATAAAACAGAAAGTGGGTACCAGGGTGGGAGTGGGGGAAGGAGGAGAATTGACTGCAAAAAGGCAAGGAGTTGTCAAAAGGGTGATGTATATTATAGGGGTGGTATTTAAATCAGAGTATATAAGTGTCAAAAACTCACTGAATGAACCTCTAAGATCTGTGCATTTTATTGTATGCTAATTATTATGCTAATAAAAATACAATGTGAGTCCTGGCTGGTGTGGCTCAGTGGATTGAGCATGGGCCTGCGACCCACATGATTGAGGTTCAGTTCCCAGTTAGGGCACATGCCTGGGTTGCAGGCCAGTTCCCAGCAGGAGACTCACGAGAGGTTACCATACATTGATATTTCTCTCCTCCTCTCCTTCCCTTCCTCTCTAAAGATAAATAAATAGAATAAAAATATATGTTAAAAAAATACAATGTGAATGTATTCTGTGAAATACTAAAATTTAGTTAGTGGGGGAAACAATGCTGACAGTAAGCTTGCTGGTAGGCTAAACTGTGCTCTTGAAAGGATTCACAAATTAATCTGTGTGCCAGATACTGGCCAAGAGACCTCAATTAGTATCAGTTTTGGTAACGATAGCAGTAAAAAACAAACAAGCAAAAAAAGTATGCTAAGCAACTCAGCCACACAACATCACTTAATGTTCTTCAACAATTTTAGTTCAGAGTATATTTACCCTCTTATAAATTAGCCTTTTGTCATAGATCCCTATTGTTTTGTTCCAGGCTGAGAGGT